AAACAGTTACCTGAAGACATTCAGTATAAGTACAAATGCACAACAAACGACTGATATGACTTAATAACAAAAATAATGTGATTATATTCCATTACTCCTTTAATATATTTAGTACACTATTAATATAATAAAATTCAATATGAATATTCTACTTTTCTGCCACAATACCATGGTTACTGTCAATGTTACTACCGTAAAACCATAGTAAATGTTGGTGATTTGCAAATAGAAATGCCTTCTAACTGGATCGTTGTTGCACAGGTGTTTCCACATCAGTTGTTGAGAATGATCCAGCTCTGATTTATTTGGCTTTAAACTAGTTTAAATCGCGCACCTATGTGATTTGTACTGGAGAACTCTGCGCAGAACTTGAGTGCTGTCACTAGATCTCACTACGCTGTTTAGTGGTCTCGTGATCGCGACTGGTCAGTGTAGTAAATAAATTTGCTTTAGCTCACAACGCGCTCTTTTCTTTTGAGCTGAGCTGATAAAAGGTCCGTGCGACGCGCGGTTTCAATAGAGAAGTGCTATTTCGTTTTGCTTTTGGTGCGTTTGGTGTTTAATACGTATTTATCATGTACAACAGAATGCTAACGCTTATCAGTTAGGCAGATTGGTAGTGGCACCAGCGTGACATCTCACAAAATTTAGTGTCACCGGCAGAAAAAAAGGTTTGCAAAATATCCATTTAGCAGTCTGGAGCAGTCTGGAGCCCTGGTAGACTACTGTCAATTACACTTTTATTTAATTGTTTATTTTATTTAATTACCTTATCTTATATGATAGCATATAGCATATGATTTAAAAAAAATGTATATAAAATTATTAGTGGAACATTTTATACATCTTTATTTGACCTCAAAGCATATCATCTCCCGCGGGGGGGGGGGCACAGACCCCAGGTTGGGAACCACTGATATAGGTCACTATACACCGCAAAAGACCAATGATAACATGTTAAGAGCTGTTAATTGTGGGGTTATTAAGGAAACTATATAGTATGATGTGTTAGATCAGTGTTTCTCAACCCTGGTCCTGGGCGCTCCCCAACACTGCACATTTTGTGTGTCTCCCTATCAAACACACCTGATTCAACTCATGAGCTCATTAGAAGAAACTCTAGCACCTGAAATGGGTGTGTCAGATAAGGGAGACATACAAAATGTGCAGTGTTGGGGGGCGCCCAGGACCAGGGTTGAGAAACACTGTGTTAGTAATAACACACATATATGCATTGAACATACTCAGCTGATCTTATACAAACAGTCATATGTGTCATTGAGCTGTTCAAATGTTGTTTGGGTCAGTAGGGGTCAGAAGGTCAATAGAGTGTTATGATGCATAGCCTGGGGGACAGGTGAAGTGGACTTGACCACTCATGCTGCACCTTAATCATAAACTGCCCATCACCTGGCCATCAGAATTAGATGAGATGAAATTTGTTGACTATAACAAAATAGAGATGCATTAAAGGGATAGTTCACCCAGAAATGACAATTTATTTCAATTGTTTTTGTCCATATAATCAAAGCTAACGGGGCCCAAAACAATATTAGACTATTTAGACTTTGTATGGAAGCCTATTTCTGTCACATAAGAAAACAAAATACATTGGCAAATCATAATTCTGAAATTATGAGATTAAAAAGTTATATTTATTATGCAACAATTCAATTATGACATTAAAATGTTAATTAAACCTTAATCTCATAATTACGGCTTAGTATCTGATAATTTCTTATAATTCATATCTTATAACTTTTTATCTAATAATTTCATGTCAGTTTAACGTCAATATTTTGACTATCTCATAAAAATAACGTAATGTATCTCATAATGCTAACTGTCTCAAAGTCTTAGTATCTCAAATTTTCATTTCTTCAAATGATTTCGACCACTTATGTCACAAATATGAATTTTAGTGATGATGATTTACCCAGGCATGATTTGTGTTTCTTATTTGGCGGAAATGGGCTTCCATACTTGACTCTAATTGTATACGTAGACATTTTCCAAAATATCTTCTTTTATAAGTCATACAGTTCAAGTGACATGAGGATGAATAAATAATGACAGAATTCTTATTTGGGGTGAACTAGCTTTTTAAAGTCTTACCAAAAAAAAAGATGTTTAAATTATGGGCGTGCATTTAAAAATCTGTGGTGATGACTATATAACTATAAATCTGTAATGACAATGTAAATATCTCACATATTCACCCTCAAGTACACAAACCCACATTCAAACAAACAAACAAACAACTCACCATAAGGATGGTAAGATGCTGGATCTATTCTCATCACTTAATCCTTGACCTAGAGGCAAGAGTAATGAGACGGGACTGCTCAAGCAATCAGGATCATCAGTGGCCCTGCGGACTAGTCAATAGCCTTCACCTGCTAACATTACACATCTGGCAGAATGGTTCACGGTAGCTAATCTCCACCATATGTTTACCACAGCAGTAAGCATCAGCTGGCATATAGTAACGGCACAAACCTTTTAAATGCATTTATATTGAACCATAATTTACAAAAGTCCATGGCATTTGATCATTAATGACTATATAAGAAATAACCCTCTTTTTATGTCACTCGCTTTCAGGAAATTGCTTCAGTGAGGTTCACAGAAGAGTTAATAGTGTGCATGTCCGGAGATAGTGATCAAGGTTATGTCGCTCAGATTAAACATACTGCCTATGTGATCGCATTTTATGGGAAAATAGTTCACTTTGTCATATGCAATTTTTTATATTGCTGGAGTTCAAAAGCTGTCACCGTTGAGAATGTCGAATGGTATCTTTCTCTTGACCTTTGTCTGCGTTAATAGCATGAGGCACATCCATACTGTGCTCATTGTAACAGTATTGAATGCTGGCCCCTCCCTATCAGACAGATTAAAGGCATTGTGGGTGAATGCAAACACCCATCTGTTCATCAGGACAGGCATTCTGGGACAAACTGGGTCATGTGACTGACAGAATAATGATAAGCATTTAAAACTGCATGCTATCATTATGCTAACACCTCGCAAACCCAATCTAACAGCATTGACATCGCATAATATGTGCTCTCGAGAACGTGCATTCGCTCCTAACAGCATATGTCGTGCAGCATTGATAAGAAGTCGAGCTTAATAGAAAATAAAGAAGCCTTTTTATGCGTATTTAGAGGAAGTGAAGTGGGGGAGGTGGATTGAGGGTAATAAATAGCCTCACACTTTCAAGTTGCCAGCAGGTTTGCTCATGCATTTCCTCCTAAAGCCCCATAAAGACTTTGAATTCCTAACAGCCGCCATACAACCCCCCTCCTCCCCGATATACTGCCCCTCTCCACTCCTGCAGTCTCAAGGTATTGAGAAACTCAGCTCATTTGCCTCTATCAATGACATATGTAGCTTATTATGCTAGTCTGTTGTTGTTTTTCTCTTCTAATACACCACACAATTATGTTCAAGCAATTGTCAATTAAAAACAGTATGGATGCTGTGCAATCAAGTCACTAAAATCAGAGAATTTGAGTCAAATTTCAGCTCATTTTGTGTGAAGTCATGGTCAAATTAGAGACATTTTGCAGGCAAAAATGGTCCATTCATTGTCAGTAGTGTAGCAATGTATGAAGCACAGATCACACAGAAAATTTGCATGACCAATTGAACCCGATGTGAAATCTGCAGGGGAAAGCTTTCGCCTCGACTGAAATTCTGAAGTGCATTCCTATTGAAATGACTGGATTTAGCCTGCGAGAAATTGCTGAGCAATGCTAAATGTGACCGCACCTTAACTGTGTTTACTGTTTATATAGTACTACAGACATTTGTCCTGTGTTATGTCTTCAGTGAAACATTTAAACTGGCACAAATATAAAGCAGTATTATTTAGAGCCAGCCATTTCCCTCTTCCCTGACCATTTCATAGCCAGATTTATATGGGTCTGGTTGGATTAAAAGGACTATCCATTAATAAACGTGCATTTATTGAATGAGCGGCCTTTTGTGTGCAGGCTAATATTTTAGATGGTGAAAAATCAATACAGTACCTCTTACATGTCAAGGACAAAAATGTGAGGGCTGAAGCCGGAAAATAAGGGGAGGCTAATACGTCGTTTCACTGATGGATGGAGCCATCAGCGGATGGCAGCAACCTTGGTGCGTTGAGCTGACGGATGCTGTAGGGCTGCAACCCGAGTGTTCATTGCCTTGTTATGAACACTACTCTCCAGACAGCGTCTATGGATTTTGTGGTGGGAAACTAGATAGTGTTGCAATGTGTTGTTTACCTCACTTTGTATTGATAAAGCAGTCTTGGGGTCAGTGAGTGTCTGCTCTTTACAGAGACAGCATGGTGGTTACTGGAAGAGGTGATCTGTGTGTATATAGACCTATTGTTATTATTATTAAGTACAAGTTCTGGCATTTATAGTGTTACATTCTAATTGGAATTGTAATAGGTTGGTAAAAAATAATAAAGATTAAAAAAAAGTCATGTTTGATCAGACACCCATTTCAAGTAGAGAATACAAAATACAAAATATAAGTATTAATACAAACATTACATAGTGTGTGTGTGTATGTACAGTCAAACCGAAATGTATTCAGACTCCAACATTTCTCACATTATCACAGTTTATTCACTATAGTTTAGAAAATGGTAATAAAATATGACAAGAACTCAGAACTTCATCTTGATAATGTCAGATAACTTTGATAGAAAGGTAAGTAATTAATTCAGTTGAATAGTTGTCAGCTGTTAAATTTAAGTACACAATTAGATAATACCAATTTAGGTCGACCAATTAACAAGCAATGCTTAATTTTGTTCAGTCTGTGGTGTAAAAAGGTCGCATTAACAATTAAAGAAAAATCACTTAAGCAAAACATGGTCAGGTCAAAGTGTCTGAATAATTTTTAGTCCCAAATCTTTATCATTTTTTCTGGTAGTCCACTGTATGAAGAACTTTTGGGTATAATATGTCACAGTTTATTTTGCTATCCTCACTTAGATAAATGAACTATAGTGTCCTGCACCCACTAGTAAAAAAAATATCAAAAAATATATCTGGTGTCTGAATATTTTTTGGTTTGACTGTATGTATATATGTATGTACAGGTATACATAAATGCATACATATATATATATATATAGCAAAGTTTCCCTCACCTTTACATGGCAAAATGTGTAACCATAATCATAGTATCTTAATAAGATTAAGGGATACATAATATTTCAATTCTTGCAAATGTTATACACAAGTTTATATTAGATGTATTATGTCCGTAACACGTTGAACATTTTGTCTCAATATGATACAGTAATTAAGCTTGAGCGATATAAAACTTTAAAAATCATTTTTGATCAAACAAAAATACTTCTAAAATGTTTCTTTCAAAACTTTCTAATCCGACTGTCCTAATGTCCTGATAACTCTGGTGCAGTTTCTTGCTTTTTAACATAGTTCTGCGTTTGTTTGTTTGTTTGTTTGTAAAGAAAACAGCAGTCAAATAAATGTAAACGTGTATGTAAATAAAATATTTTTTGATGAAACAAAAATAGCCTACTTATAAAAGTATGTTTCTTTCAAAACCTCCTAATCCAGCTGTACTAATGTCCTGATAACTCTGGTCCTGTTTCTTGCTTTTTAACGTAGTTCTGTTTTTGTTTTGTTTTTTGTTTGTTTGTTTGTTTTTTGTAAAGTAAACGGCAGTCAAATACATGTAAACATGTGTATGTACAAACTTTATACTTCAGCTTGTTATGGCGACAGGCACATTGATAAAACCGAGATTAGGTTTATCGGCAGCCAATCAGAGAGCGGCGCAGTCAGAGTGGGGCGGACGGGGGCGGGGTTTGTGCGCAGCTGCTGACACTCGTCAAGAATTGCGGTGTGGGATAGCCTGGAAAGTGCGTGAAGACCAGAGTCACCCTGTCGAGGAGCGCTTTTGTTTTTCAGGGAGACATTTCCCACAAGTATGCAAAAGGCATTACTTTGAGCTCGCGTCTGGAAACACTGGAGGAAGTTCGTCTCGCGTCTGATCGGCAGCCTCCAGCGGGATTATTCACAACACCAAACCCTCTCTCTCATCGATGCAAACGACTGCGTGTTTACAGTAAATAAGCGTCAATGCGTCGGCCTGTTAACGAATAGCGTTTAGAAGACGTTTCGTTTGGGGCAAGGAGGCGTTTGGGAGCTTTTCAAGATAATCGGCACTAACAGTTTTCGGAGGTTTCCACGGACTGAGCGCGGGACTCTGCTGCTTACAGTTACTCATATAGCAGTTTCACATCGATCTCGGGGTCTCTCACAGAGACACAGTTTCAACAGCACGCTGTGTTGCAACAACTGGCGCAGGTTTTTAACATCTGAAGAATGTAGTTCATTCCCCGTGGACAGCGCGAGCTTCTGCTGAAATGATTAGCGTCTCTCATCAAGTGTGAAATCGCACTTCTTGCTCCCGTTTTATTGTTTTGATTAGTGTTTTTAAATTTTAACCTGCTATTTTTCCCCGTTGTATATAGCATTTCGAGTCTTTTTGCTGCGACTAGAAGAAGGAAGCATTTACTTTTGGAGCATATTTGCTTTTATTTCACGATGTACGAGAGTGTGGACGTTGTTGGGCTGACCCCTAGTCCGAACCCGTTTTTAAGCATGGATTACTACCACCAGAACCGCGGCTGTCTGTTCCCGGAGAAAGGCCTCGTGTCGGGAGCGACCCGCGGCTTCAGGACCCCGCACTGGAGCGGCTCCAATCACTGTAGGTGGCCTTTTATTTTCTTTATCCTTGACACAGTCTCTGATCTAACATTATGCGGACAATTTCATTCCGAGTTCCTCCCCCGACTGCTGAATGTTTGGGGGGGTCACTGGGGCTCTTACAGGGGCAACTACACATCAGCTGTTTTCCGGCGTGTATACATGTTGGCTGTGTCTCAAACTAATGCGCTGTAAATATGTGTAATATATTTTACTGCCTGTTGTTATAGAATAAGGCTCGATTTAAACGCGTATTTCCTGTCAGTGTGATATTAATTCATTGATAATATACAAGTACTGTATATTTAGTGTGGCTTTATGAAATGTTACATTTATAGGTAATCATATTATATAGTATCTCAGTCCCCAGACACTTTCAGGCACTGCATTTCCACCATATTTCTATTGATATTGTCATGAATGAGTAACAAACTAATCAAACTAAATGTATGTGGGTTCAAATTCCTTAGGCTTGGAGGTCAAAGGTCAATTGTGAGTCAGTTTCTCCCAGTGACCACTATGCATTAGGGCCTACATTGTGTCAGTTCATTCTTAGAAACCATTGACTTGTTTTAGTTTTGGTTTGAATGATTATGTGCATTTAGTACAGTAGTGTTTGCATAACTGCAGTAGTAGAAAGCTTTTTTAGATGTCATACAGAGCAGATTGGTTTAAAATTCCCTATTCAATCAGTATTTACATGAAAATCAGGTATACATTTACATGTATATTTATCAGTGCTCTCTATTTCTGTACGTTGTGAAACCTACACTATTTTCGCACCATTTTCTCCATGTGATTTGGTGTTACTCCCATGTGCATTGTGGTTCCTGCGTGTTACCACCTAATTTTACGCATAATCTTAGTGGTTGCTTTGGAGAAGCTTTTTACCGTATAAATTTTATAGTTGGATCATTCATTTTACAAACTCTCATTCTGCAGCATTTTACCTTCAATAAAATGTAGAGTGAAAAACTGAGGGGAATGTGTGAAAATCAACCCAATTTAGCTGATGAGCAAGATCTGAGAAGTTCCATCGGCAGCTGTGTGCAGCCAGCTTTGAAAAGAAGCTACATTAATACCATCAGTTCCAGTGTGCTAATTTTACTACTGTCTTAAAAGTACGTTTGACATGTTCTTAAAATAGAAAGATATTTCTGTTTGCAAAATAAAAGGTATGAGAAGATTAGGTGGTTTTTCTCAGTAGCAGTTGTGTCTGATTGTTTGGTTTCTTTTTAAATACTTTACTTTGTATGTTAGTGTAGGGGAATTTACACCTTACAGTTAACCCCAAAGACCAGGTATGATGAATGAAGACCAGGAGTCAGAGATGCAATCAATGGAAGAAAAATAGTTTGCAGTTTCATAGGCAGAAGTCAGCTTCAACACTCTCGATGGAGTTCGTAGGCCGCTCTGTGTACATGTTAACAACACCAGCAATTATACTCTAACAGAGGTCGCTAATTGCGTCAATGCATGGGTCAGGAAGATTTTAATTGATCTAAAACCTAGATGAACTTAGAAAATCTCCACATGGATGTAAAACTCGAAGCATATCTTCGAAATGATTATTTTGGTGCCAAGTGATCAGAGGTCAGATGCAATAGGTATATTAAACTTATTTTCTAACATGCATAAATGTAACTTTGATTAATAATTATTCAAGAAGAAACAAATATATATTTTCTGAAGGTCGCGATAGCTCCAGGATTCCACTCCTTCTCGTTAGTTCTTACGAAGCATGATACTTGGTATTTTAAATATCATGTATTATTGAATGATAGCAATTATATATAATGGCTATTAAATCTTTAGAGCATAATGGAAAATATATTTTTTTCAGATGAACTAGGGACTGCTTGCAATAGCACATCTTGTACACGGACACTAGACAACGACGATGTCTTATCACAGCGTATGGTATGTGTTTGCAACTCGAGCGTGACATTTCAAGGGGCCAGAGTCTATCTGGAAACATGGTCTCCAGTGATTGTTGGGGCATGTCAACATTGCTAATCTTGTGTAAGCCTGTTTGAGGGATGATTTGTTCTGCAGCTCAGCATCCTTTTCTTATGGAGAACAGTCCTAGCAGCCAAAGTATTTATGGTTCTTGAAAAGGGCACATAGAGCAAGGAGACTCGGTGGTGCGGCTCGACCCCAGAGCTTTGAGGAGACGAGATCTAAATGAAGTCATGTAGAAATAAGTGACGGTCCTAGGATCTCCTGTAAAGTTGTTTTTGTATAAGTGGCATGTTAGGGTGGAATATAGGCTAGTGTCCAATTGTCTCCTTTTCTCCCTGTATGAGAGTTGTGCTTTTAGTCCGAGAAGATATTTTGTATTTCTCCATATTTCTGCAAAAGTGACTTTCAGTGGTTTTTTTAACCCACCATAGTTTCCACTTTGCAGAGTAAATCACAAAGAGCTCGAAAGACCCTCAAGGGCCATTGACTGAAGTGCAATGAATTGCTTTGCTCTTTCAGATAATGTTCAAAATAATTAAAGCCAGGCAGCAGCTTTTAATGACCACATTCTGAGTCTTGCATAAGATCGTGAGACTTAGAATAATGGATGTTTGCAGAGTGTGTTCCTTTAAGTGACACTCAAAGTGAAGTATGCAGTAGTGTTGCGTTTTTCTGCTACTTCTGTCTGTGTATTGTCTTGCGTTCTTCTGAAGCGTGCCATGTGATTGGTTCTTAGTGGCCTTCAAACATGAGCACCTTCACGGCCATCAGGAGCGGATTAGGCCCTCCACCTCCCTGACCTCAAAGCCCTGCTACCTCGGCGATGAGTGAGAGGCTCTGGCGCGCCGTGTCTCAGGGAGGCATCCATCACGGTGTGTTTGAAAAGCTCTCCATCATTCTGAAGGCTGCCTGGGACCCAGCAGAATGAAAGCAGGCGGTCGGATCTCTCTGCTGTTCCTCCCCCACTAAAAGACTGTTAACTTTCTATTCACAAGCCTCCTCGTGACATTCCAGTGTAGCTCTTGTTTTAACAGAGAGCTTGATCTCTTGTGAACATGCATTGTTGAAGGGCATGCTTGGATTGTGCATCTCGTTGATGTATCATCTAGAGATGCACTGATTGACAGGCCAGTGATCGGAATCGGCCTATTTTTCAAATGACCGGCTCAGTCTCGCGTCTTGCCGATCCTTTTATTGCCGGCAATGACGTCACAGCCAGGCGCACAGTCACGTGTATAAACGTGTCGTTTCGTGTGAGAATGATTCAAATTTTAATTGCATTCAGTGTAAACGGCGACTG